TCATCTCTTGCATGAGCTGTTCCTGCCAATGCCAGACAATAACTTCCTTTGCAAGATGCTTCAGGGCCTTTATAACTTTTAGTTTCAGAAGTGTGTTAAAAGATTTTTTACCTTTTGAAAAGCTAGTTAGGTCTACATTTAAAATATTCACGGGGCGCCTAGATGTCCTAGTCGGTTAAGTGTTCCACTTCGGCTCAGGTCATGATCTCATGGTTTGTGAGTTTGAGTCCCATGTCGGGCTCTGTGCTGACAGCTTAGCGCCTGAAGCCTGCTTCAGATTCTGTGTCTCCTTCTCTCTCTGCCCCTTCCTGGCTCTGTGTCTCTCTATCAAAAATAAATAAATGTTTAAAAAATTAAAATATTCAATACTTTTTAAAGCAGTTATTGATCTCAAAATAATGTTGCAGTCAAACTGCCATGATAAAATTGCCAGACAATATTTTCCTGCCTCAATCACAATAAAAGAAATGATTCACATGTATGAAGCTGAAGGAATGATGGCCTTTGTCATATTTTCATTTATTATGTACAGGTCTCCCATTTAATTTGGAGTGAATTTCTCCTCTTCATGAGTAAGAGATCTCTTTGAAATATTAGTGTCATTCTTTTCTCCAGTTTTAGACGTAGACCGTGTAATGGTGGTGGAGAAAGTGAGCCTTTCAGTCTCCTTCATCTCCGGCAGATGTCCCGCCTCACAGGAAGAATATATTACGAATATATTTCTTTTATCTCAAGGGGAATATTATTTAATTTCATAATATTTATACATTTAGATAGAATTTTTAAAATTAAAAAATTAAATATTTTATGTATACATGTAATTATAATATAAGACAGAAAATGTACTAAATTTTAGTTGTATTTCCATATGTGTTCAAGACGTCATTCTAGATTTCAAAACAACAATATATTAGACACAATTGAGATAGGTTGCAGAGATTACAGCAGGGAAAATTAAAGCAAGCCAAATAAAATCATTGAGAATAACCTGGATTAAGCTCTGGAAATGTACATTTATAGCCTAAACCCACTACCTTAGAGTATTCTTAAAAACACAAGCAGATATTTTAGTAATCATAATAGTGATGATGTCATCAAATCTCGTGTCTGGAAACTCAGCCTTACATTCCCGAGAACTGAGAATGTGAAAAGATAACATTTTAGTAGTATTATGAACATAATTTGATCTTTGCGGTAGCATAAAAAAATCGAAAATCTCAGTGTTGTCAGGTAACTGAAGTTAATTCTTGCTTCTGTAGTCTACTCAGAGTCAGGGAGGAAGCAGGCTCCACATACTCATTGAGGAGCTGCAGCGGGTGGAGTTCTGCATCTTAGTGTGTGGCTACTGAGGTGGACCATGGAAGACAGGAGGAGGGAATGGAGAATTTGTTCAAGTAGTTATTCTGAGCTCAGGCTTCACGTGAAGTTCGGCCATTTTGTCCACCTTTCATTGGTGAACTTGGTTCCACAGCTACCCAAAACTGCAAGGGAGGGTGGGGGAATGGAGTCAGCTGGGTTCCCAGAAAGAGACTTGGGTTTGGTTTATTAGAGATTATTCTCTAACATAAAGTCTAATTTGATAATTTACTGTGAGAGCCTCTGAGTTGGAAAGGCGTAGTTATATGTGTGGCAAATACGTCAGCAATATAAGCAAATCCACCTCCTATAAAGTAACTACTTTTATGTACACAAAGAAATACGTTAAGTTCAGTAATATTTATGGGGCACCCACTATGTTCAAGCAATATTCTAGGTCTTGGAGAGAGAGGAACAACAGACAGAAAGTCCCTCATAGAGTCTGGTGGGAGAAGATGGCCAATAGAAATGTAAACAAATAGAAGTGCTTGGGTGGTTCAGTAAGTTAAGCCTCTGACTCTTGATTTAGGCTCAGGTCATGATCTCAAGGTTCCTGAGTTCAAGGCCCACATCGGGCTCTAAACTAACAGCACAGAGCCTGCTCGAGATTGTTTCCCTCTCTCTCTGCCTCTCCCCCGCTTGTTCTCTATCTCTCTTTCAAAATAAATTTTAAAAAGCTTTAAAAAAATGAAAAGTAAGCAAGTAGTAAAACAATCGTGGATTTTGATAAAAGCAGTCATGAAGGGAGAAGAGAAAGTGAGAGGCAAGGCTACTTTAGAGAGGCTCATCCAGAAGGCCTTTTTGAGAAAACAATACTCCAGTCATGAGACGAGGAGGGAGAAAGATCCACCCCCGGGAGGCAGGACAGGCAGAGAAGAGAGAGTCATCACGTCACGTTCTTGGAGGAGCAGGAAGTGGTGATGTGTTTTGAGAGGAGACAGCAAAGTCAAGAGCAGGTAGTGCACTGGGCCAGGGGGTCAGGGGCAAGAGCACATGGAGAATTACAGTCCTTTAAAAAGAGCTGTGGTTTTATTCTACGGGCAGTGGAAATCCAGGTGAGTAAGATGATTTGATTCATAGTTTTCAAAGTTTATTTGGGTTTCTTAGTGGCGAACAGATTTGGGCAGATCCAGGGTAAAAGAGGGCTTACCAAATCCGGCTTCATTGGGAATGACATATTTCTGCATGGCAGTTTCTGTCATTGCCCCAAACAACCTGGGCCCAAAGACTCAATCTAGGTCATGGGGGCCATCTGTTATTGTAGCTCTGATATTACTGGTGGCTAACTCAAAAAAAAAGTGTAGAAACAGTTTTTTCCTAAAGTTTTTTTCTCTCCCCTCTACATTTTTGTAACCATCCGTGCTCTCACCATTAATACAAAGACAGAAAATAAATTTTCAACTCCCAGAGCTGGCATTTCTCTCAACGTTGTCTGGCATGAGTTATCAAAATGACAAATGTTAGCCTTCAAACCTGAAAATGCATAACCAACTGCGTTTCCACAAGAATCATAAGAACAGCCATGCAGGGCTGAAACATTCCAATCAATGATGATGATTATTAAGCATATGCAAAATAGTAAAAAGGATATAATGAGTAATGAATAATAAGGAATCTGGATAACTGAGGTGGGCCAGCTTGGTGTAAAAATAAGGAAAAATATTTGCTCTCTTCAATACCAAGAATACAGCTTCCTGGTGACAACCAATCTGAGTAATTCTGTACAAAACATAGCCCTTTTGTGGTACACAATGTGTATTTAATAAATATACATTTTTAAAGAATAACTATCCATTAATTTAGATGAAGGGGAAAAATGTACTTGCGGGGATCGTGACCCAAGCTGACTTGTCATTTCTGCTTCTTTCATGGAGATTGGATACAAATACTTCTTCCTCCCACCTTTCCTCTCTCTTTTTCTTTCTTTTCTCCTTCCTTCCCTCCCTTCTTTCCTTCCCTTTCTCTGTTTTTCCCTTTCTTTCTTCTAAAAGGTAAGATAACTGTTTTCAATGTAATTATACAAAGGAATTTGTATCTTGATTCAAGATGTATTAACACCTTATAATTGTGTTCTACAATAAAGTATGTCTAACTCGTTGACCTAACTAAATTGTAGCCTGGCGAACTCAGGCGTTTTAGTTTTAACATACCAGTATGCGTTACTGTTAAATAAAATTAGAAAAAAGAACTGTAATGAAGATAAGTACGGTAAGATAGGCAGCCTGAAGCCATGGGCTTGGTGTATCCAAGCATAGGGACGTACATGGAAGCACCTTTGGTTACACACAGACACCTATGCACACACAGTCTTGATATCCGGAAATAATTGCTTCCAGAGAGTGCTGCCCTTTCGTATTTCAGTCCTAGACTGCTGATGAGCAGTGTCTCACAATATCTTCCTAACTTTATAAGATTTTTAGTTTATAGTCAATACCATAGTAGCAAAAAGAAATTAAATGTCGAAGTCACCTTTTAAATTGGATACCGTGTGTCCCCAAGAAAAATCATAGCCATTGATGCCTTTACCCACAAGTTAAGGAAAATCCAACTCAATGTAACTGAGATTCTAAGGACGTACACTGTTGCAAAACGCAGAAGACCCAGAGAAGTGTGACTAGAGTAGTTGAAGAGGGTGGGCCAGTGAGACCCATAAGGACTCAGGGTTCTCCATGCTCCAGTCTGCTCAGTGTTACGAGCTCACATCCTCTCATGTTAGCGCCTGTCAACATCATAAGCTGACCACTGTGCATGATTCCCAAAGGTGCCCCATACAAACCGGACCGTGATGTGAGCCAGAAAACTGGATGCACCCTGTTTGTTTTTAGTCGCAAAGAAACCTTTCTCAGAGGCCCTCCAAGAGGCTCACCGTTTTATTTCACTGGTTGCGTACTGACCTCAAAATCAACTTTAGGCAATGGAATCAACACTGCCGTGTTTGGCTTCTAATAAGTAGGGGTTTCTGAGGCTCGTGGTAAATCAAGCTTCCCCCAGGTACGTGAGCAGACAAGGACACATGCCTGGACCTGGGACCTGGGGTGAGGGGAAGGGCAGGGGGAGAGCTGGAGTTGAGGAGGCACAGCAGGATACTGACGGGACGCTTTGGAAGCCAACATGGAATAAAGAGGGAAGAGGGCGGCTGGAAACAAGATGCCGGCGTTCTGCTGGGGGAGAGAGGCCCTCGGTGTCACAGCCTAACTCTGAGCTTCCAGTATTTCAATGGCAATGAGCTTTGTGTCTCAACAATTTACAGAATCTGTTAAATCGGGCAAAATGATTGCATGTGTCATAGATGGATGTTTACTCAAAGCCTGACTTACCTATGGATCCGTTTTTCCAAAAACAACCAGTGTCCGATTATGGAGTCAGAGACAATGAGCAATGTTTTCATTTGCTGATTACATGGAGAGTGGCGTTGGCAAGTTTGTAAAAATGGCCTCTTGTATATTGATGAAAACCCTGTGGTAGTAGGTCTGTTTTATAAATTAATATTTCAGTCTTGCCCTTATGCAGGTTTTATTCAGCCACTTCATTTCTCTTAATATATTTTTTGGCAGATTCCGGAATAATTTAATGGTATATTACTCAACATCGTTTTAAGTAACAAATGCAGAATAAGACTAATTATCTTTTTCTCGATTTTTAAGATCCTGACTTTAAGGACCTTGGAGTTTTGAAACCATTACCAGGTTGGTAAAATAGATATTCAATAATGTTCGGAGGTCTCTGTTTTCTGCTCTGAAATGTACTTTTGGTTTATTATTCAAGCTCCATTTCTGTATGTTTGTTTGGCATTTCGTTATTTAGCATGTGAGTTTGAGATGGGCGGTCCTGAAGGAATTGTGGAGTCTATACAGATTATGAAGGAAGGCAAAGCTTCTGCTAGCGAGGCCGTGGATTGCAAGTGGTACATCCGGGCACCTCCACGATCCAAGGTCAGTCTTAAGGTGAAAACAGATTCCACAGTCAACTTGGGGAGTGTCTGGCGCTCACATTGCTTTGAACCCACCGGATGTGCTTAGTAGGTTTCAGAGTGCAATCATAAGCTGTCATTTTATCTTGGTTTTGAAGTGCAACTTGTCTTTCCCCATCCAAGGAGACTTTCGATGTCATAAATAATACTGAAGTGGTCATTTGGTCACCTGGACCAGAGACCGTAATGTAACTCCCCCTCTGCTGACAAATGGACTGAAATGCTATCTGTAAGCTAAGATTCTAAGTATAGTTACAGTTTTTCTCTTACTGTTAGTATCTGTACTTGGTTCTTGTTTTAACCTAAAATCATATCTTTGGAAGAAATGGTCCAGGGCTTGTAAAATCACGTATCCCTGGCATATAAAATATCACATGATAAGACTGGGGGACTGTGCCCGTGCAAAGAGACCAGCCAGGACTTCACTGCCTATTACGCTCCTTTCGATTGTCGTTATGGAAAAGTATTGGTCAAACATTACCAAGTCCTCCGATTTTTTCGTAATGTGGCAGGAGTCGGGACTTTATGTAGATTACCTTGAGTTTTAAATGCTGGCAATATGTTTTTTAAATTGTTAATGTATATGTTATGAAGTAAGTATATTAGAGGTCAGATTCAAACCCAGGCCACTATCGTGGAAACACTTCTTTAGAACAATCATATCTCTCTTACTGTTAAGATACGAAGAAATAGTGGAGATAATTTTATGTCAATCACTATCCTACGTGGAGAATGTCGATTATTTGCTTATCCCCGTTCTCTTTATTATTATTCCTCAGTTATATAGTTTCAACAAAGCATTATTAATTTATTAGGTTTGTAGTTGACTATTTATTGAGCTTGAAACAGTTTGTTGTTTAATTAATAGATTTAGCGGCTCTGGAAAGTGCTTGCATCATGCTGGAGAAATAAGAAAAACATGTTGGCAGCTGTCCGCATGCTTTTGGTTTAATTCTTAGACAAATCTGTAAGCAAATAATCCAGGGAATAAGACAGGGTCCTTGAGACATTTATAAGGTGTAGTGGAGAGAGGAAGAAGTGCGTGTACACCTGGGAAGGTCAGTGAAATGTGGGATCAAATTCAGCCAGGGCATCTGCTGAATCTTAATGAAAAACAGTGTTGTATCCCATAGTCGGGGTGGAGCATTCTCTAGGTAGAGGGAAGAGCCATCAGGGTTACAGAATCATGAGACGGTGAGCTTTTTTAGGAATTAAGTCACTGAATATGACCCAATGAAACATGAGCATGGAGGCGGACCGTGAGTCTTTAAGTCAAAGGGGTCTCCAGGTGCCCTAAAGAACCCGGATTCACCCTGTTAGCATTAGGGATACCTGGAGGAGTGTGAAGCAGGAAAATGATGTGATCAGATTTGCATTCTGGAAAAGTCACTTTTCCCTGTGAAGTAGTGACAGACGAGCGAACACTGCAGGCAGAAGACTCAGTAGGAGAATGTGGCAGTGATCCCCACAGTGGAGGTGATCCCCACGGTGGAGGTGATCCCCACGGTGGAGCCTGGTTGTGATGGTAGACAGGTGGAGGAAGTAGTCACGATGGAGAGAGGAGAATTTGGTGACTGGCTATTCAAGAAGAGGGGGAAATAGAGCCATCTTTGAGGACATTGGTATCTCAGGAAGTTTGGTGGCTTTCCTCACTTGACTCTGCCGTGAATGTGTTTCTGGGGTCCGCATACAATGTGGAAGTGGGCGCTCACTCCCCAGACTTCCGGTTACAGAGATTCAGAGCAGTGCTCCGCTCTAGTCTTTCCACTGGCAGGTCTCTGCATTTGTACAAATCTTTGAAAACTTTTATTGTGTTATGAAGAAAGACACAGTGATTCCTCCTTTAATAAAAAAAAAAAAATCAAAGGCTGTTCGTGACATAAAAGCCAACCCACTCCCTGAATTTTAAGAGAGCTAGATTGCTCTCTTACGTAATCTGTGGGTTCACATGCAAGTGCTCATCGTTTTCCTTAAAGTCTATGAATGAAAGATTAGAACATTTTTTTTTCCAGCTGGAAACGTTTGAGCCCCATCTCATTGTTGTGACCGACATCTTTGTCCCTTGGGTGTCAAAGAGAGGGTTTTCATGGGAGTGTAAACACACATTGTTTTTTCTTTCCCCCAGCTGGTAAATAGGCTGTCTTTTGTACAATTCCAGAGCAACAATCCCCAGTGTACCTGTCTGTTACAGAATTTGGCATTCTGTGACCCAAAGGGGAAGCTGCCTGCAGAGTTAGACAAAGATGACTCTATTGTGACAGGCTTTCTCTGTGAAATTAAAGGTTATAGGATAGGAAGTGGCTTTGAATAACTGTGGAGAAAAGCAAGAACTGAATATGACTGCCTATGTGGGCTTTCTATTTTTGTGGAGTTCCTGGCAGCTTATGAGACTAGACTATCAAAGCACAAGTTAAACTTGAAGTGGCTCGTGGTGAATGTTTGAATGATAACTGGGGATTGAAACATATTTGCACAATGCAGGAGCTGAATAGCCCACTGGGGTTCAATTAAAATTTATATCAAATATTTATATTGCTTCTCAGACTTTTTGACAAATAGAAAATAGTAATACAGATGAGCACCTTTAATTAGAAGGCGATTGGTCCAGATTTCTTAGAGTTTGGCATGCTAGAGCCAGAAAGAACACTGGAAATCTGCTATTGATTAGCTCCATTAAAGATGAATAAGCTGAAGTCTTATCTGGGTTAATAGTGGATTGCAGAGGTGTCTCTCTACAGGTTCTAGAGCAAGGGTGGTGGAGGGGTGTTACGGCTTCCGGTTCTGGATCCGGTACAGGAAAGAGCCAACAGGAAGGAATTTTGGGTGATCCTATCATGGTAACTATTTGAATGTTAATTCCTTGAAGGCTGGGGCTTATTTATCTCTAGATACTTAGTACCGAGCAAAATGACTGTCATTCAGTTAAAACTCAGAATAAAACAACAAACGGAGGTATATCTAGAAAACTAGACATGGTAGCTATCTTCAGACATTTAAAGGACTGCCACAGGACAGAGGAACAGAACAGTAAGGGTTAATCTGCAGTGCTTCAAGTACTATAATTTATTTGCTCAAAACTGGAAAAGTAATAGCTTTTGATTCAATATAAAGAGAGTTTCTGGTTTTTGTTTTAATAATGGAGCTGTCCCAAATGAAATCAATAAGAAGAATCCATATAAAGTTTAGCAGAAATTCTGTACGATAATTTTAAAGTCAGGTAATTTTTTGACAGAGATAATATTAAACTCCTTTTAAGACCAAAACCTGATGAGTCGTTAAGAAGTGTCCAGATGTTTGGTTTATTAGTACAGAGCTAAGGTGAGATTTCCATATCTCGACTCCCAGCCTGGTGCAATGTCAAAAAACCACACTGTTTGGGGGGAAATTGTCAAATTTGTTAAGATAGGAAAAGAGATAAGTCAAACACTTAAAAAAGTACAGAAGTGAAGATAATTAACTTAATGATTAAGGTGTCGGGATAATAAAGCTCTAGATTTTAGTAATTACCCATCATTTAAAACTTCACATTGATTTTTAAGGTGTTGTCACTTGATTCAAAAATGTTTTGAATCAAATTAGCATTAAATAAACAGGAAAACTTGACAAATATGGTAAGTCAATATTTGATAGTGAAGTTGTTTTAATTATATGATGAACTTAATTGTAGGCAGAATCTTAGATAGGACACCCAGGATTTCCAGCCCAGTCAGTGGAACTGTGAATATAAAATGTCACATACCTGATTATGTTAAACTCCCTGGCAAAAGCAATTGTGCTGAAGCAATTAAGGTTACCAATCAGTTGGCTCTGGGTTAATTAAAAGAGACTGTATTCAAGTGAGCCTAATCTAATCACATGAGCCCTTTAAAAGCGGGATTTTCTCTGACTGTCAGCAAAAGGGGAAGTCAGAGGAACTAAGAATGTTTCCTAAGAGCTAAAAGTGATCCCTGATAAATGGTCATCAAGAAAACCAGGGACCTTGGTCCTAGAAGGGCAAGTGAGGTGGGGAGGCTGGGGGGGTGCGTGTTCAGCCTCATATACCCTTAGCAGAGAACACAGTCCAGCCCACAATTACTTTTACCTTATAGACTCAGAGTTACAAAACAGATCTTGGGTAAAGCTGTTCTATTTCGGCTAACTTGTTATGGGCAAGGGGAAAACTAGCACAATAGGTGAAGGGTAGTAACTATATTCCATGACCATGATAAGACTGAGGGCTCTGAAGACTCAGTCTGACTTGAATGTCTCCAGAAATGGAAATACAATTGGGTAAACAAAATGAACCCCACCAATGAACACGTTAGGGCTCAGCTTTGTTTTTAAGGGAAATCTCAGTTTTGTACTGTTGGATTTTGGGGATGGATTTTAAGTACGTTGATACTTGCTCACACATGCCAGAAAAAACACCTCGGTATCCTTATCAGGATTTGTCATAGGGCGTGTCATTTCAACAATTGAGAAAAGAGCGTAATATTCTGATGTTCTCCTCCAAATAAAGGCGATGCTGCTACATTTGGAATTCATGGGATATCATCTCTAAAATGATAAGCCCTGGCATGGACAGCTACACATAAAACCACAAGCTCAGAAGTCCTAGGCTACACACCTTTTTTTTTTTTTTTTTTTTTTTTTTTTTTTGAGTCTGGCTTTATTTCTCAAAGTGAAAAGTAGTTCTGAAACCATGGACAGCGTTTCTCAGACCATAGTGTATTTAGTGTGTATTTTCAGGGAGCAACCTGTTCTGGGCAGTCTTAAATAATTGCCCCAAACAATGTCTGTGTTCTGCATATCGTTGTGACATGAGGGGAGGGACCAGGTTGAAAGGCTGGTATTAAATGTTTGTTTGTAAATATATGACTTAGTAAATTGTCAGCCAGAGTCACTTGCTTTAAGTGCACAGAAGGGATTCTGCTTTCCATATTAGTGTGATTTGGAAGACAGATATTACTAGAAATTGCTTAT